GTGGGACGTTCGCAAAATTGGCGAACGTCCCACCACAACGCGCCTTCTCTGGTTTGTGTGTACCAGCCGGGTGGGCCTGCAGTTGCAGGAATACTCAGCATAGCTATCGAAGGAAGTATACCGCTATCTACACGGGAACCGAACTGTCGTGCGAGTTGTCTTGGGGTAATTCAACAGCTGCGATTGTAATATATAGTTCACACGCGCCTCCGCATATTGCTAAGGCCCTGCATGTGACAGCCCAGGGGAAAAGGATCAGGGGCATGAGACATACGCGAATGGTCAATGGCGCGTCAGCTGAAAACATGATGCTGTAAAAAGGCTCTCCCCAAGATTGGTTTGTCAAATGCCTGAGGCGAAGGCAAACAAAAACAGAGAACGAAAATACCAGAGTGTCTACCACAATACACGTCCAAAATACACGTACAATCCCTGACACTAAAATTGGCAGCAGACCAGTATACTTGCATAGATGCCCTTTAAAGTATGCATGTGTACACTCACAAATGTACGTGAAACCATACGTACGTTGGTATATTCATGGTTGGACAACCACCGTGCGAACAATTGTGCGTTTAGGTATATATACAATGCGTGTGTATATGCCTAATACATATTACACATAGTGTATAGCGTTGTATATTTGTGTGCCTACCTAAAGCCGTGTAGGCAGATCATGCTCACGCATTATTCGTTCACAGAAGCACGTACGGGCGTGCACTGTGCAGAGGATTTCCATCTTTGCCACCCACAAAGAAGGGAAAAGCCGCACACAGTTAACGTTATGAAAGATAAAGAATGAAGCCCTTACAACCAACAGGCAAGGCAACTCACCTGAAGAATTCCTTGTGCTCTTCAGCGGTGGCGGAAGCTTTAAGCCACAACGCCTCCTGCGAGGACACCTGAACCTCCTTGCCATTCTCCTCCATAAACACGGGAAAGCTGCAGCAAATTGACTCCACAAGGAAGCTAAGTATATCGGCATGAAGGGCTGAACGAGCAGCCCAAGGGTCATTCCTCAACCGCGTGTCACCAAACAAAAGGCAAAAATACACGGCCTCCACAGCTGCTGCCCCATGAAAAACCTATTGTTGAATGCCTTCTAGGGAGCACTGTGGCAGGGCAAGGAATGCATAGATGGGCAAGAGACATAAGGCGAATTTAGCAGAGCGCCGCACACGGAACAGCACTGAAATTGTCGAAAACGTAAAGGCGATAAGCCGATAGGGACGACTGTGTTGAATACGCACTTAACGAATGCCGAAAACTTCTTGGCGCATTCCTTTACTCTATGGGGATTGGCAAACTCCAGACAGTCTTGTTTCAAGTGACAAACAATTCTGGTTCCTGAGGGACAGCTGAGGGACTCCAAAGCGGCATGCGACAACGTAAAAGAACCCGAGCCGTCACTGCACCACCGTAACACCCCCCCACCGTCTCGAGACCGCGTGAACACCTCCACGCGTTCAGAGACAACAAAACTGGAATAAAAGCCCACGCCAAACTGAAATGCGCACACGCACAAAGAGGAATGAAACCGAAAACTCCAGAGCCCAATCTAAACCCTAAAGGTAAGCAGATACGAGCGGACACAGTGCAGGCCATTCACGCTGGGAAGTCTGACGCTCAGGCCCGTCCTTCCCCAACAGTTGTGAATACACCACATATATAAATGAGCGCCCTCCTCTTCCAGCCCCAGCACCCCAACACATTGAGCGTTTCGAAGTCAGCTCGACGAGGAGCCTTAGAGCGAAAACATCATGTCCTAGGGTAGACTCTACTGCATACTTGGCCTATGATGTCCTTGCTGGCCTCTGGCCCTGCGCTTTTCAGGAACTCCAAAGACCCGCTTCTCGCGATGGTACCCAAATTTTTGACGAGCTCGTCTCGGCTCATTCCCACTCCGTTGTCCTGCAAGTACAGAACCAGTATCGGCGGGCGAAGCAGCATCAAGAGCCCCGCAATAACATCAACAGCAAGCCCATGCACACATCCCTTCTGGGTTTACGTTTTAGGCATCCCTCAGCATTTCGAAGTGTTGTCGGTCGGGAGGCAGTACAAATATGTTTGACCGACTCCACCTCTGGTTCCCTTTTTGAAATGCATGTCGGTGTATTGTCGGGCCTGTGCTCCTGTGAACTGTACTGTTGCGTCTCTCAGTCGCTCCATCTCCCTGCCTCCCGGTCCTTTTGTCATTATCTTTCTGCCGTTCCCCACCTGATTTTTCTCTACTGTTCTGCCGCACGGCCACTTGGTGCATGTAATTGACAAACATGTATACAGGGGAAAAGATGCAGCTTCTCAGGATTCACTTAAAAGTACCTCGATAGTTAAAGTCTTCTCGGCGGGGTTAGCACGTAAGACGACACGAAGTTGGCCTCGCTCCTGCTGCTGCTGTCCCTCTTGCTGCTGTTCAGATGCCTGCAGAAACCTGAATTTCTCCAACGCGTCGGATGCATTGGAGATGAGCTCTCGGATAAAGACTTCCTTGTCCGTGTAAAGTGAATGGGTGACAATCTGCAGCAGCTTCTGCGTCTCTGCCTGAAAAGGATGTCTCTCCTCCCCCCCTGCAGACTCTACTGGGGACCCCTCAGCAGCGCTGGCACTTGTTGACAGACCTCTCGACTCCGCTTGCTCCCCCAAGCTGCGGCAAGCCCAACCCCACTTGGGCTGCACGGGCGGAGCAGGCACCGCATGCTGCGGTCCGGTAACAGGTACTCTAGCGAGTCCGTGTGACCCCCGATGGGCCCCAATGGTTGCTAGTGATATGCAGGAGTCACGGTTGCCCCTAACGGAAAGGTTGGAAGGCAGAAGCTGCCTCTGTAGAATAGATGGGCAAACACGTCTCATTTTATTGCTGAACGTCAACGAATGCTTGGAGCCCAGGACCGACGAGGGAAAACCGGGCGCTGCTTCCCTTATTCGCAAATGGCACGGGACAAAGCAATAGAGGTTCTATAGGAACGCTTTCCTAGAATTTCTTCGGGGTGTACAGACGGCCAGAAGATAGCCTTCCAAGCTGGATCAAAGTGACGAAAGCAACCGCAAGATCATAGAAGATTCCGAGGTTCAGCTCACTGCAACTACGAGGCAAAAATGCACACAATATCTCACAAATCTAAGTTTATGAATTCCTAAGTGTTTCCCCGAACCGTAGGGGGCCCGCTGTTGGGCTTGCTGCACTGGGCCATTGGCAGGCCCTCGTCGTCCCCACGACCGAGCGGGGCTTTCACGGCGTACTTACACTTACCAAACCCACTACAAAGTCTCCTTGATCAAGATTAGTATACCAAGTTTAATGGCAACAGAGCTGCGTTTGTTGGACCCCCCAAGTATATCGTTGGGAATGGCCACTCTTGCCCGCCGGTGTCGATTGTCTCTGTGGAGCCAGGCCTACACCTTAGGCATGATCGTGTAGCGCTGGAAATAATTGTGTTTTCACTGTGTCCTCGGAAGACTACAAATGCCAGTTGAGGCCCGGCGCTATGTATATAAAGGGGAGGTCACCCAGAGAACTGTTCCCCCCCACACGCACTCACGGAGCTAGACGGCTGTCTTCACTGGGGGAAACTAAGTCTTTAGGAGCTGACGAGAAGGCATAAACTGGCAACTTTGCAGCAGGTTCATTAGTCGATTATACAGAGGAAAGCGGTGGGGACACTCGGTAATTAGTGTCCGCGCGCCGAAGGCCGTTATTAAATGCAACGGATAGTCCTTAAGCGCCTTTCAAAGAGAAGCTAGCTCACGTTCTGACCTCCCTGGTTCTTGAGCTGAACACCACTATTCCTGGAGGCTTGTGCGAAGAGACGGTCTCTTCTGGATCAGCAGCGTATGTAGCTACTGGGTGCTCTTTCTGCAAGACAGCGGCAACTGCAAGGATGCTTCGACGCATGCAATGGCATTGCACGCTCACTTATGTGGCTCTTAGCAGCCAGCCTAAAGCCACGGGGACAGACAACGTCACATGCACTGGTCGTAGACAGACGCTCATTCATCATTTGCTCCCTCTGCGGTGGCTAGGTGCAGCTAGCAACGAACTCTAGTCGCAAGTAGTGCATGTAGTGCACACTCAGACTGAACATCATGCCCAGTTCTACCCCGTAAGATATGTTTCCGGCAGGTATACTTAACGGCACCATCAAAGCGCTGGAGAGCATGTGCTCACCTCTCTATTGTAACGTATCTTCGGTTCAAGGGCTCACCGACTGGAAGGGTTATGCTTTTACTGCGCATTCAAGTTACGTGCATGTGGCGTTGCTTAATATTTCAAAAGGCGTTGTAGCAGTGGGAGCTCACACGGGGACAAATTTTTGTCACCATGTAGAAGCGAGGCTTGGTTGCTCTGGTGAGCTGCGAGAACAAAGGCTGGCATACATGAACCAACTACACGTTTGCAGACCGCTAGCCTAAGCACCCCGGTAAGTTGTGATTAGCGCCGCCGTCTGCAGCGCTGAAGTGGAGCATCATGATCGAGTGTAGGAAAGGAGTCCTTAGGGCGGAACAACACCGCTGTGGAAGCAACACCGCTGTGTAACAGAGCTTGGAAGTGCACAAACCCTCCTGGGCGTACGGGTGCATAGAATCTCACATACGCAGAGGAGAGCTCGAACGGGGCTTCTACGTTGCCAGGTAGGCACAGCAATGTGAGCATGCAAATGCAGTAGCAGCGAGGCCAGCTATTATTCTGTATTTGTTGCGCTGAACCATGCTCTGTTGGATTACTCTGTGGCCCTGCATGGCGGAATGCTTGCGGTGGAGTTATCAATGGCAAGCGTCCAGTGACGGAAAACATCTAAACAACTCATAGTGGGGCAGAACCTGAATGCGCGAGTGCTGCACGCGGGCATGCAATATCGAAAGTGCAACAGAAATTCAGGATTGCACAGAGGAGAGTGCGGTGCCTCTGTGGAGACCCAAACAGACACCCTTCATATGCCCCAATGCTGTCGTCAGGGACTAGACGCAGGAGGAAGGGCCAATTAAAAATGGGACTCCTCAGTTCGCCGGCACTGCCTACCCTTCAGTTTCTTTCCTTGCCTGCTCTGTTGAATTGTGCTGGGGCCACACCACAAACCTGCAGATGGTCATTATCCCAGTGAACATGGTGCCTGAAGAGTACGTTTAAGCAATTCAAAGTCTCCTGCAGAACCCACGAAAGCTGCACCACGCTCATCTGCTTCCATCCGAATCAGTCAGCCACACCCGTAGCGACGCCACTCCCTCCGGAGGTGCCACGACAGATGAAGAACGCGTCATGTTCTCGCCATTACGAGCCTCTGGCGGAAAACAACGTGCTGGTGCTAGGTAAGCTAGCCACTGCTGCTGGAACCCGCTGTCCCCTACATCTGGGGCGAATCAAGCAAACTCCTGGACGACTCCAATCTAATCTACTCTAGTACAGCACACAATTTCACGACCCCAGTAGCATCTTGCTTCAAGTAAGAAATGACGTGTGCATGAAGAGCTACTCTGGGGTTCTTTGGAGGTCACATGCTTCCGCTTTCTGCTAATACCTAGTCACCAAACCATGCATATGCATGGATCTGGCCAATGTTTTTGTGGAAGCAAGCTCTACATTCCAGTATGGTGTTTGCCCCCCTACCCTCTTTACCACTGATCAAATATTGGTCTGGAGGCTTGAAGGCTTTACGCCTTCAAGCAAAGCTGCTTGCAGGGCGCAAGCTGCGCCCTGCAAAAAACAGATAGCCTGTACCTGGTGATCGTAGAAAAGACGCTCAGTGGTTGGCCTCGGACCACTGAGAAACCTCGTGAGCATTCAATGGAAGAACCAGTATGCAAACTTGACAGTGTCCTAACCCCGTGTGCACGAGTGCAGCTTCAGTAACGGTGCTAGATGCCGTGCGCTGAGCACATGTAATGCAGGGTTGCACCACATGCTGCAGCCAAACTGCCAGTAAACCACTTCCTCCGGCGTCCACATCCCCGATGCATTATCGCTGCCCATGCGTTGTACTTCGTTGTCTCCGAGGGTCTGGCTACCAATCCCACGGTCTGTTGAGGCGTTGGCCGCTTCAGCAGGAGGTGAGCCTGTGGGTTTTTTTTCTGTATCTGCTTGCGACGAAGCAGGGCAACAGTGTAATGAGATGTACGCACTTATTATACGCCGAAGAAAATCCTGTCGAGACGCCGGTGGCAGCGGCTCTGCCGAAAGCGGTAGAAGCCGGTGCCTCTTCCTTCTCTGTTTCTTAGAAACAGGTCGAGGCAGTGCAAGACGGAGAGTGGTCGAGTAGCTGCTGGCAGCTGCCAAGTAGCTGTGCAGCAACTTTCCACACTCATTCCAAATAAGAGAATGCCACGCACATGCTGTCTTCGAACAACGGTGTGGCTCAGCTCCCCAGTCTGCCCCACAGCAGCAACGCCCGCTGGCAAGCATGTCCCGAGCTTTGGCAACTTTCTTGGCTGCTGCTGCCACAAGGCGGCGAACAAAGGCTCTCCACTCGCGTTGAGTTCCTCCTCCCTCTGATTCACTGTGGCAGTCGTCACTGGGTGGGTTTGGGTCTGAGGTGGTGCTCTTCATGCCCGAAGGTTGCCCATGCACCCAAGGTTGGCAAGTCTCTGAACTGGCCTGGGAGTAAAAGCAATTGCAGAGCTTTTCGGATGAAGAAGAACACTGTGTGAAGGCCTGCTTAGCGAAGCATGCAATGCTGCTCGCCGCCTGTAGCGGGGCTCCTTGTGTACACGGCTGCAAATCATACGAGCACATAGCGGTTTCTCCTGTGGCTCCATCTGGGTCCGCTTTCAAATCCACCAGGTTTGAATTGACTTCCGTCTCCTGCCTTTCTGGATGAGGGTTGGTCGACAGGAGTGACGGACCCAAGGGATGCTCTCCTCCTGGTAGCTCCTGATACCGCTCATCCCCCACAAAACCGAGTTCAGGATTGTGGATTCCGGTAAGCGTCAAGACGTCGGGAAGAAGAACTCTAAAAATGCGTTTGACACTGCGGCGAATCCTCTTGACTTCTTGTAGACTATCACAATCATCAAGAGCTTGCTGTTGTCCATGCAGCTCCGACTCACCTACACTACGGCTACGAGTAGCAGCCCTGTCGATGTCATGTGCAGCTACATTGGCTTGGCGCTGAGCAACGCCAGGCCGATCAGCGAAGGGACCGAAAAACGCGGTCACACCCACAGCCCGCCAGCGCCAGAAATTGATATGCCTACAGGCGCAAGGGAAAAGAGAGCACCGCAGGTCATCCAGAAAAGGCCACACATCGGGTTCGGGATGAGCTTCCGTCTGTTTCTGAAATTCACCATTTTGCCCCTTCTTCTGTGCAGCACGCAAGTGTCTATTTAAAAGGTAAAAGGGGTCTCTAACGAATCCCTTTGTCAGCGGAGTCGCAGCCCACAACAATTCTACAGGTAGCCATCTCCATTCCCTTGGAAGGTCATCGATATGCTTATACACCTTTCGTCGCTCCCTAACGATGTCTTTCAGCGCTCCGTTTGACTCAATCTGTTCTCCCTCCTCCAAAAGTCGCACCTCTTCTTCGGCTGCTTCTGCTGCTTCCCACCGGCGACCATGCGCTGTGCCTGCCAGTCTTCGAACTGAAGGCTGTCCCGCCGAAATAACAGAATTGATCCGTCTGCGTTTTCGGTTGGACTCCTCCTCTTGCTCGTGCGCGCAGTCTTCAGGAGAGTTTTCGCCCTGTCGGCAGGCCTTCCAAACAACTCTAGAAAGACCAGACGCCAGTTGAGCAAGGCTCGTGCAGCAGCCAAGCTGGTCAAAATCAAAGCTGCCACCGTCTCGCCTCGAACGGCACAGCGCCAGCTCTATGTGCATGCGCGGCAGTGGTGGTTCATATGTAGGAGCCTCTTCCCCATCACAGTCTCCTGCGAATTCATTAGCCGTAGCATTTGCTGCAGACTTTACGGCAGGCGAAGAGGTAGCGATGCCATCGCCACTTTGAGCAGTGGCGTCCGCCTCCTTGATAAATCCTCGTAAATTAAACATCGCCGCAGCGCGTAGTAGAGGCAGAAGAGACACGGATCGGGGCCTGTAGCAGCAAAAGTGCAGAGTAATGACCAGCAAGGACTGACAAACCTTTCATATAGGCAGCTTCCAGCTCTCACGGCTGGTCGTCCACCTGTAGGGCTGCCATGCTGATCTGGCTGAGATGGGGTGTAGTGTCATATGGAGGATGACTGACAGGAATGCAGCAACGCGAGGGGCTACTCGCTGAGCGAGACGCAAGGCGTGGCGGAAGTCCTTAAGAAAGAATAGGCACAACATAACAGGGAAGAACAGTTTCTGCACGGTGCCTGTGGCAGCTAAAATACGACAGAGAAATTTCTTTCAAGTCCGAGGTGCGCACGGGTCTCAATGAATGCCATGGACGCTAAATGTTCGCTGTAGTCGAATTTCAGCGGGACAGCATCTTCATGCCTTGTCCTGATAGCTAGCCTGGCAAGTGTACAGTGTCTGGGAGAAGCGAATGCTTACAATCATTCCCCCCATTCGAGTTAAATCAAATACCTCCCGGGCGTTGTAGCTTGGGCCTCCCCATGGAGGAGAAAGGAAGACCTGAGAAACCGCATCACCCAGAAAACCCCTGTGACACCTGCAGTAGCAGCATAGCAGCTACTCTCGAGGCTTATACATACTGCATAGGACAGTCCCTAAGCGGCTTCTTCAAGGGCTTGCAAACCCCCGCATTTACGACCCCTAAGCTGCAATTTCTGAGCACCATTTGCTCCCTGCCTTTCGAGCAGTTAAAAGCTGAATTCGCTGACAATAAGCCCTTACTACGTCCAGCGCGCCTCTCCGGAGCTGGCGAGAAGTCAAAGTTGCAAAGTCCCCTATGATAAAATCTACGCGCGAAGTGACCTGAGAACCTGCACCATCTCGCCACCAATATAGACGCAAAGCTTAGCGCTTGGACACTCCGCTGTTAGCAGGGGCGTGAGAACCTAAGACCAAAATGAGGTTCCAACCACTATGCAGAGCCATAAACAGCCCACTCAAGGTATCATCGACCGCCCACTGGTTCATCAATTGACGAAAATAAAATTCCCCAACAAATTAAATCCCCCCTCGCACTTTCGCCGCTATGAACACATCCAGCCAGAATTTCCCAAATGTGCTTTGGCGCCTCAAACTAGCTCTCGCTTCAAAGCATGCACGGTGTCCCACGAAAATGCGACGGTAATGGAGCAGACAACTCTCCCTACACGCGTAATCAGCGGTGACTCTTCATCTGTAGCAGATGACTTTTCATCTGTAGCAGATGACTTGTGGGCAATGGTTTCCCTTCGAGACCGCGCCAACTAAATATGCATGTGAATATAACTGTCTGTCCTTTATTTGGTTCGGGCGGATAAAGCGGATGATGCTCACCGTATACCGCAGCATTTGCCTTGGCCATTTGGATGCGTATCGGGTCTATTTCGCAAGATATGACAAATCCACACGACTTTGTAAAGGCGATAGTGTTCCCCCCAGCCTGAGCACGAAAGGTACATTGCCCGTAACGGCGCCTTGTTAACTGGCACTGTTGACCTTCCGGTGACAGCAGCAGCAACAGAAGTCAGAAAATGGCGGCTGTGAGGGATACAGCAGTGGATGAACTGCGGCGAAATGCTCACGAACCCCTGCAAATCCGTCCAGGATCAAATCACAGCGACACCGTTCAGCTGTATGCAAGGCCAGTTGTTCGGGGGTAACAGACCACCACATTTCCTCGTCAAGCTGAATACCATCATCAAACCTCGAAAATAGTTCTCCCCGGCGGCTCTCTCTTTGCCTGTCAAGTAGAAGCACAATGAATGCAGCCCCACAAACGTGAGTCTCTAGTAGTTGTCCTCCGCCGCAAACCAAACCAAACCAACTCATGACCGAAGAATGATCATCGTGATTTCTTCAGTTTGTATGTTTAGCTCTCTGGAAATGCATGTGTCACATTTGTTTGCAAATGATACTGCAAAAAACATTTGATAGTTTCTACGGCCAGTGGCAAATGGAACTTTGCTGGAGAACAATGCCTGTTGTGCTAGGATATAACTGCAAGCCGTTCACCAACTTCGAAGCTTAAAAGGCGCACATCTTTGGCCTCTTATTGTCGCAGCTATTCACACGTTTGGGGTGGAAGGCTCACTCCTGTTTGCTTCTAATTCGTGGCCGTTTTCCTGTAAACACGCCCCCTGTTCCTTGCGGGGGAGTGTAGGCCCAGACCTCCGCTTCCAACAGGTCAGTGACACAAAGTGCTGACCCCTTCCCCATCGCCTAACTGGAAAAGCTTCATGAGGTCAGATATTCACGGTTGTCACAGGAAGAGAGCACCGCGGCCGGCACCTTGGTTGAATGCGGTTGGTAAGAGATACAAAGATATCCTCTTAGGAGGTCCTTCGAGAGTCAATGACACATATATATCTTAATCAACCATTCAATTTTCGTTTTACCAGTGGCAACCCACGCAATCATCGAAAGCCCCAACATCTCGCAGGACTGAGAACTAGCAAGCACAGCAAGAGATGATAACTGGCTTTCCTGTGCAAGCATTCCTCAATAATCATTCTTAAATATATATTTACTCAAATACTTCCTTTAGTCTTAAATGACTTAGAAATTGCTGGAGATAGTATGAAAGTTGGTTGAACTTAAGGCCTAGGGGGCCCCCTGGCATGCAGGCGGGCACGAGTCCACCGGGGCCCCGTGGCGGAGAGGAGCTTTGCCAAAGTGGTAAACGACGTCTTCCGGCGGGTTCCCTATACTTATGAAGTGATTGAAATTTATCTTCGGCCCTGTGGCTTTCTTGTCCTTCTTAGTGGCTCGCAGTTAGTATTCTTCTCGGTGCAGCGCCCCACACAAAGTCACAGCGGAAGACACTGTGGTTTCCCCCCCTTTCTCTCGAAGGTACGACCTGTGACAAGTGTTTATGTAGATAGAAAATTACTCAAGATTCTTCCGGCCTTGCGTAGAACTACCGGCAACCGCTGTAGCCGAAGTATCACCGGCAGCAGTGCGGCGACCGGAATTTATAGCGTACGTTCTAATGACGGACGACGAGCAACAACAGCAGCAGCAGCTTGCTGCTTTGCAGCTTGGGCTTCAGCAGGTAAGGAGACACTCTCTTCTTTCGTTCGTGGCCCTTCTGTTCATGATGAGTCTGGCGGGATTTCCAGCATTGTTTAAGGCAGTGCGAGCTGCTGTTTGTATGACAGGGTTCTAGTGCATTAAGCCCTCCGAACGAACTCAGTTGCATGCAGCGCTCCTAAAGTGCATTTGTCCTGTCGTATGTAGGCCCTGGAGGCGCAGAGCATGCTGGCATCGCTAACATCGCGCTGCTTTACAAAGTGCGTCGACAAACCGGGTAAGGAAGGTGCTTCATCTATCATCTCTTTGGGGATACGGGCCTCCCGACGGCCTCTCATAGCCCATGGTGGAGACACATGTTGGTTTTGATTCTGGAAAGCACGAGCATGCGTGAAGTGATTTGCCTCCCCTGTCGTTGCTGTATGCTTTGCCACTGCTGTAGGCCGGTCTCTTTCGAGCAGCCAGCAGCAATGTGTCTGGCAGTGCGCCCAGAGATGGAGTGAAGTGCAACACTTCGTGGGGATGCGCAGCAGAGCCCTTCTGCAGCAGCAGGGAGGAGCTCTTCTGGGAACAGCAGAACCTGGATCGAACATGTCTGCAGACAGCCTTCTTAGTTGACCAGAGGAGCAGTAGCAACACCAACGGCAGATCGCCTAGCAGCGTCAGCACTATCCCCTTTCTTCGTAATGAGTTTCTTGCATAGCTAGGACTTCTGTATAAGTGTTACTTACACTTGGCACCGCTGCCCCTTGGGAGGGTTTCTGGGTGAATGGAAATACTGTTCCTTGACACTCATAACAAACCCAATTTCGGGCTGAGATATGCATAGAGGCGCTGCCGGCAAAGAGTTGTGTTGCGACGTCGCACAACCTCTGAAAGGTCCGGCAAAATCGTTCGTTTTCTTCGGCCTCCATGGGGCCGTAGTCCTCTTACTTTGGATACATTTTATCCACTAATAGAAAGCTAAGGACAAGTTTATACTTCCTTTCAACTTCACATAGAAGTAAACTTGAAGCTCAGAATTTTAGACTACAGCAAAGTCTAGAACTATAGGTGCGATTAGGTCGTATGTGTCTGTTGGTTGCTACCAAGGGTCTAATTGTTTGACGGTTTTTGCATTATGCGGAATTTCGACTGATATATATAACTGAGGGACAGATCGCTTTTTTGGGGTCTGCCCCAGGCGCGCCCGGCATTTTGATTGTTGCGCTGTCGGTACAATAACAATAATAGGAGTGGAGAGGTAGCTAATAGAGTTAGAACCCTGCTCTATTATGGTCTAAACTCCCAATTCCTTATAAACAGACTTTTCAGGCTGGTAGCAGGTTTTGAGTTGCGCCCTGAGATATTGCGCCTGCATTATGAAATTAGGGATTCAGCCCCTCATGCACTGCAGTGGATGCCGCTCAACTCGAGCGTCTGTGGTAGCCGTTAAGTTGTAACATCGTCGTCGCTGCTCACGAGAATTCCGTTGCAGGGTTCATCTGAAGAGGAACTTTCGTCTATCTCTACTGGCAACCTTGTACTCATCTCGTTCTCATCAGCTTCTGCTGCTGCCTTGTCAACTACTTCAACCGCTGCAGCCTCTGCTGCTGCAGCTGCAGCTGCAGGACAGATACGCGCTAAGGCGACTTCCGCTGTAGTGTCGACGAATAAACAGATTGTTAACAGGAATGCGGTACCTGCAGACATTGCATCTTCTGCCGTGTTTTGGGCCCTCTGAAGAGTAGCCACCGGATCCTCCTTTGTTGGAAACCGGTGCTGCTCCAGCTGTTGCAGCCAAGCTTTTGCTTCCTCACAACAGGAGTACGCACACACCAACGCAAAAGCAGCTTTTGACCGTAGACGCAACGGGAACGCAAGGCTACAGCCCTGGAGGGACCTGCGGGCCAATAGCAAAACAGCCGCAGAAGAACCCCAACAAGCAAATTAACTATTCCGTTTTCGATTGCAGGCTACGCTGTTAGTCCTTAAATTTCCGTTGACGTGAAATGCTACCTTACCCAGTGTTGTTCCTCTCAATACCCCAAAGGGCCCCACGAAGAGGCAACACAACGAGTTCCAGGTCGCTTATCTTGATGGTGTATGTACATTTGAATTCCCAAGCCAGACTTTCGTCACTGCAGCAGCATCGCTGCGTTTGGCCTCTGCATCGTGTACAGTACGTTGCTGCAGATGCCCTAACAGCAGCGGTAGTACGCGGTAGAACCAGCTGGAGAACGTAGACGCGGCCTTCTAGCAAATGTGGGGCTGCGAACGCAGAGAAAAAATCAATGGGAGCCTAGTGCTTACCAGCAGTCGCTCAAGCTCGGATGGATACGGGGCAAATGAAGCGCCGTAAGGTAAGTATCTGATTTTACTGCTTTACGTTTAGTGCCTCCTAGTACCTGGGTTGTTGCTGCGTGCCTCAGTCTGTTGCGACCTGAGGGCAGTACTGCTGCTTGCTGCAGCCGGCTTTTTAGCCACGAGAAATGCCTTCTTGAGGCCGCCCCGCTTATTCGTTTCAGTTGAAGAGGAACTGGAGCGTTTGCAGAGGAGGGTACAATTCTCGACTGCTCCAACATGAATAATGCGCTCATTGTTGCGGCTGTTGTCACTTCTGCAGCTCCCAATCCAGCTCGCTATCCATGGCGAGCCATGTGGTGGATTCGCAGTCTTGCCTTGCTGGAAGCAAAAAGTAATGGCCTGGGTAGCCAGGCTTCCTTGGGGTTCCTGGCCCTGTGCAATAGAGAGGCAATAGGCTCCTGCATCTGCAGGAGTAGCGAAGACTCCATCCCAAACCAGGTATTCGGCAAGGCTGCTGCTGGCCTTTGTGGGATGCACTGCTGCTGTGTTTGGCCCCTTCCCCGTAGCTGCTGGTGTTCGAGCTTCTGTTCCAGCCGCCGCCCCAACTAGCTCAATACGAGCTTCGTGTGTAACCCTAATGCGCTGCCTTGGGGGAGGGAGTGTCCCTGCAGATAAGCAGCCACAGCAGTTTGGTTTGAGGGGAACGCTGAAGCGTTCCCGAAATGAGAGCAGAAAGTGTGTCGAGGTAATGACTCTAAGGCGTTCTAAAGCCCTTGTACTAGAGCGATAGACACACCCTTGTAAGTTGTTTTGGGAAAGGAAACAGTCTCTTGCAGATCAAGCCGATGCTTGCGAGCTACTGCAGCACAAGCAAACTGCCGGAGGACGTCGCGGCTCTGGAGTTCGCCCCAGCAGCGCTCCAGTGAATCTGCAGAGACAAGACCAATAAGGGTGGCTCATGCAACACAAGACCAATAAGGGTGGCTCATGCAACAGGAGGATGGGGGGATTGGAGCCCAGACAGAGAATCACTCGCAGCTGCAGTAGGCAGAGCAAACGCCCATCCTCTCCAAGCTGGCAATATACTTCAGTGTAGGTAGCTCTTGCCTGTGTTGAAGACGAGATCGCAACAGAGAGCAGCCGCCCCTTCCTTGTCACATGTTTGCACGCCTGAACCTCTCCAGCACAGGAAGTCACTCGTGTGCTGCATTGCTACAAGTTTGCGAGGTTGAGCATGCGCCGAGTGCACGCTGGCTAAAACCTAACGGTGCTTCAGTCGATGCGCTCTTAGGTGCTTGCTTGGCTTTCTAGTTAGACGGACAGGGTCCTATACTCATGGGGATCCGAACCCCCTCCCGAGTCCCCTGTCCCTCCTCAGACAAAACTTCTTTGTAGTGCCAGGGTTCTATCTGTGGATGACTGCAAATGTTAAGGAACAGCTTTTGGCCCTTTTGGAGTCGAGTCTTAATTACATATCGGGGCATGGGACTTATCCATACTGCAGTTCCACTCTCTTCTTTCAGGGGACCGCAGCCCTGAGAGGCTATGTGGGGAGCAGCGCTTCCATGAAGCAGTTGGTGAATTCCTAGAGCATCCCCAGCGGCTTGGTCAACACCCAAGCAGCGGGAGGGCCTCGCCGTTCCACAAACCACTGGGGGCGCTCCCGTGGGCCCCTGTCCTTGAAGCAGGACATCTCTTGCCCTTATGGCCGATTCCCACATTCTGTGCTAAATTTCGCTTGGTTGGGTGTACTATTGTGCACTAGATAGAGACACCTCTTGACAAAATCTGTATTTCTGCCTAAGACCGAACTAACTGCACCACATCACTCGGTAGTGCCTCAGGGTGCCCTCCGTTGCACCCAGCAGCAGGAAAAAGCCCGAGGTGCAACCTTTTTTTTCTCTGTAATTGGGGAGTGCTGGAATGAGGCAGAGAGGGTGGCGCGAGGCGAATGGCATACGCAAAGATGCCAGCAATTCGGTCGGGTTATGATAAAGGCACCATCTTCGATTTACAGATAGACTGACAAACCAACGGGAAAAACAGTATAAGAAATTCCCAGCACCCACACCGAGGAGAGCGTCTGCTTCCCGTGTCCACCAAGGAAACCGTCAACCTTCTCGCGCACACCCAGTCGCACGTCCCTGAGTAGACGCAAAACAATAAACAGACAAAAGTGCACACTGAAGAATAGCGGTGTCTTGCTGTCACCCTAGCCCCAAGTGCATGCGGGGGGACCTGGACCGTCGTGGGCCAGCAGCGGTGGAGGGTCCAGGTAGTGCGGGCTGTCTGCAAGATGTATTCAACGGTCTCATTCCATTGTGTTGCTTCATTTCCGATATATTTAAACGTATGCATAGTGGGTTGAGGGAAGAATAGAGGCCATACAGGAAGTGCCTCTCGGGCTACGTCCTGGTCTGGTGCTCCCCCGGGGGCCCTGAGGACTGCCAGCTCGTTGTTAATTTCAAATGCTCTGTTTACGTTCACGCTTTGCTTTTGCTGACCCCTCCAGCGTGGAAGGACACACCAGGCGCGCAGGACGCAAAATGGGCCATAATCTCACGAAGTGACTATGGACGCCGATCCCAGAGGACTGTGAGGCTATGAGGGCAGGGGCATAGCCAGGAAGGCAGCCAGCTGCTACCTCTGCTACCTCCTGTGCCCAAGGTAGCCCGAAACAGCGATACAGCTGCAGCATGCATACGTCCCATGCGCCGTTTATGTGCCGCCGTCGTGGCTGCGAGGAGGAAGGCCCGTCTTAGTTGCAGCTCAACGGATGCTGGCGCGTTTCTGCTGCCATTTGCAGTTCCTACAGCAACAAAGTCAGGAGCTACAGAGGGTGAATGCATTACGGTCACTGGAAGCCGTCTTACCTGTCGTGCCTGCTTTGGCCCTTGTGGAAGAACGCCTTTTACATGCACAAATGGGAGGGCCTTTCTGCAACAGCAGCACTGTAGGCAGCAGCGTCAGATGCTGCGGCTGCTGCAGAAGACGTGGGAGTGCGACTACTGCTACCCTGCTGCTGCCCACAGCAGCAGCAGCAGGCTGTGGTTCGTGCTAGCATTCACCAGGCATGCTGCTAGTGGTCTACAAGCGCGAACTATTTTCTCAGCCTCTTCAAGGCTTCCTGTAGCGATGTTTGGCGGTTCGTACGAGCAGGCGCAGTCACACCGGTTGCAGCAGCGGCAACAACAGACGCACCAACTGCATGCTCAGCAGGCACGAAGCATAAGCACGAAACGCCGGCGCTACTTCAAGATGCGGAAGTTCCACAAAAAGAAGTACAAGAAGAAGCTGATGCGTGCGAAGAAGGTGCCTTTTGTAGAGATCAATCGACCCAAGAGGACATGGAAGACGCTTCGACAGATGCAGCTCGTCAGGAAAGAGTTTCGAAGGGGCATTCCAGGCAAAGGCGCGCGATTGTTGCGTCTTAAACGGCAGCGTTAACATTTCCAGAGACACTGCAACAAGTTCCGTCTATTGTAATTGGGTTTCCATGTTGGCGGTCCATACCGTGCATTGTAGTTTTCTTCGCTAGTAGTATGGGCTTGACCCATCGTCTTTTACGGCATCGCCATCCCAGAGGGCGAACATCGGGGGTTTCGATCCCAGTTCCTTGTAAGACAAGTTGTAAATCCTATAGCTGCCATTTCGGTGAAGTAAATACATCCTAGACAGCTCTGTTAATGCCTACTCGCTCGCAAGGGTACCTCGCTGCTTGCCGCGTTTGTTCACAGTGAAGTTTTAGAAATCAAGGGGAAAAGCAAACAAAGGATAAATGCCCCGGGGTCCACGAGAAGTCTGCGTCCTCGTGGATGGGCCAATAGATACCTTGCTAAGCAAGGTGGGGTAGTGCAGTTGAGAGGAGGCAGGAATCAGCTACCCTTCTATTAGCCACGCACTGCCTAGCATTATGGAGCCGCAGGTGTTATTTCTTTCTTTTTGAATGATGTGCGAAGTGTTGGCAACCCACTGCGGTTTCTCGCCAGAAACGTTCGACACAATTGCCTCTCAAGATGCGTCCGAAAGTCCCTCGCTGCAGAACATCAATTGTGAGGTATTACTGATTCCAGAGGACACCTTGTGTAACATTAACAACGAACGTATGTGCACGGTTCAGGTTCCAAAAGCGGGACTCTAGCGTTGCCGCTCCATTTTAACTGTACCAACCTGTACCAACCAGGCCGCGCCGTCGGCCCCAAGGCAGCTACTTCAGGCGAGGTGAGGGCTTGCTCCGAGAAGTCTTCCTCCCGAGTGAAAAAGGTCCTGGTTGCCGCAATTTGAGCAATTAACAGAAAAAAGGCCCTCCGCTTGCCTACGCTTTGTTCGTACGTACGTCAAGTCAGGAGGGTCCCCTGCGGGGAGCTGTGGGAACTTCGGGTTCATGAGCATTTGGACGGGGAAAAGGACTTGCGTTATTTTAAATCGCATTTTCTACATCGAATTCTGCACATTTCTGCAAGGAAAGGGGAGAGAACATCGATCCTCTGACCCATGGGGATCGGATCCCAGTCTCCCCTCCACTTCGCTCGAGGATCGCATCCAGTCCATTCCACGCGGGCGGCGAGCCGGCGCTTCTTTAGCCCCCCTATTTATTAAGGGTTCACCAAGTGTGTGAAGTTTCGACCCTAGAGGAAATTTCTGGCCTCCGCAGGGGCATCCATTTGGAACTTGCCTTCTGTCCTGCGCTACAACTGTGGCCTTGGAGCCCACGCCTTGTGCTCCTTTCCGGCTTCGGCCGTCTTCTCCTATCGGAAACTGTGCATACAGGTTCCTGTGGTGGTCACTGATCACTCCTTGCGCCTTCCCGCAATCTTCCTCTGCGCGAATTTCCACACACAGTTCCCTCTGGCTTGAAGGCATAGAGTGGGGGCGTGTTGAATAGTAGGAGAGTAACCGTTTCCTCCCTCAGTTCCACGCTGTTGTCCCTTCGCCTCAGACTCCTGAAGGACGTAGGTTTTGTGTCTGAGGCAGCCCACCTGGGACGCAGGTGTACCCTGCTCCGTGGCCAAGCGACCGGCGCTGTTCCGTTCTCTCCCGAGGAATATGCAGAGACGGGGGCTGGTGCTGGTGGCCCTTCTAGGGCTCCTGCTGTGCTGCTGGTCTTTGCGCGTGGAGGGCGCTAAGGGAAGCAAGGCGAACCCCAGCCCAGGTTCGCCCGTTGCTGAGGATGAGCCCGTTGGGGCTGAGGTGCCTGCAAATGAAGCTGCGCCGGATGATCGGTATCCTAGTGCCTTGAAACGCCTAAGGGGGGCAATTCAGAGGGCTCAGCCCCTTTGGACGTTCAGAATGCAGTCTTTACGGAGGAACCGTGATGAAATGAGGTATGAGTCTTCAAAGGTCCCTAGAAAAGCCTCTAGGCACCGAGCGCTGCTACTAGCCCTATTGATTGGAACTGCTGTGCTTCTCCGTAGCATTCACCTCGCTATATCCAGCAATAAGTTTAGAGACAACAGTGCTCTCAGAAAGAGGCTCCAGGTGTGGATGGAACTGTTAGAAATTGAAAAGGCGAAACTGGCGAAGCTGAAAAACAACTTGGCGGAGTTGCAGAGTGCGAACGACCATAAAGAGGGGCTCCTTCAGAGCCAGCGGCTGCACATAGAACAGGAACAAATGCTTTTGCGCGGCGAAGAGGAAGAACTGAAAAAGAAGGAGACCCGCGTGGAGGGTCTCAGGGAGACCCTGGAGGCGGTGGAGAGAGAAGTCGCACGGGCACAAAGTGTGTTAGAGGGGCGAGACTTGGAAAGCGAACGAGCTCAAAACAGAAAGACTAGGGGGTTTCGCACAGCTAGCCAGGCCGTTGACCTGATGCAGCAGGTGGGGGCGGCGTTTGACACGGCGGCTTATACAGGATCTCGTTCCAAATCGAGGTCTGCCTTTTCAGCGGATCACATGGAGCTCACGACAATGCGTGCTGCAATGTCCGTGTTAGACTCGCTCCCAAAGAAGCCGTTGACTTCCGACCAAGCCAAGGACATTCTGAAAGCCCGCCGGCTGTTGCTGGGGGCCGTCGTCCGGTGTCAGGCTGCAACATGGGGCGCCATAAGGCGGCTACTGCAGCTGAAGGCGGAGTGGCAGACAGAGATGCTTCTGGAGCAATCCGGTGAATCTGGGCTCGACAACTTGAGCGCCCTGGCGGAGGAGGAGTGGTACATGCAAGATAAGATGCAAGAGCGCAGCAAGCGCGACCTCAAATATCTTGAAAACCAGATGCAGATATGCTTGACGAGGCAGCAACAGCTGCAGGAGCGCCTGGCCTCTAGCGAACCCCTTGACGAGCAGGAAGTAAGTAAGCTGGAAGTCTTGCTCTTCCATTGGGAAAACTACGAACTAACCGTGCGCGCCCGAAAAGCGCTCATCTTGTCGACGGAAGCTCAGGCCTTTACAACCCGCGAGGCGTTTCTCAGGGAAAGGCTCGCGCGAGTGCAGCGAGCCTTCGACCAAAAGGCATATAGGCGGAGGCGGCTGCCGACCGATAGCATTCGGCTGACCGAGATAGAGACATCTATTTCGGCAATCAGCGAGGAGCTGGCGGAGCTCAAGCAGATATACGATATGGCCAAAAATATCAGAGCGGACTATGAGTACACTCGTATTGAAGGGGAGGAGCTGCCGACTCTGAGGAGCGACAAGCAGCCCTTAGACCCTCTGCAGCATTTGGAATATGAAGACAAACGCCGTGAAAGTGTGTACTCGAGGCCTGTCACGGCCTCTCTGGTAAGAAGACAAACAGCAATTCAGCTTCCACAGGGGCAGTATCTCCCAACTTCTCTCGCCGCCCTTGCGCCTCCGGAAGAGCAATCTGGTGAGCCACCATATCGTCTTCTAACCGGGACTGGAACAAATGATCCTGCCACAGTTAGGCTTACACTAGCCCCCTTCTCGTGTCGATGTACTGCCTCCAGGACAGCGTACACCCATATCAGACGGCAGTATCAGTCCAAAGCTAGAGACGTTGCCACCGACACCCCCTTCTCCTCCCCGTAAGGCCGCTAGCCCTTTTTTCTGTCCTTCGTCTAACGCTCATCATCCCCGAGAAACCCCATTTTGTTACCGGCGAACCACAGGGCTGCATCTGTAGCATATTTAGACGCTATGCAGCGGCTTCTCAGCGTTCCCAGAGTCTTTCTGTGCTCTGCGCGAAACCGAGATGAGCGTTTGGCTTCTGAAAATTCAGGACACGGTGACGTTGCTTACCGATACGAATACTACCACCCCGGGGCCGACGATAGACGGAGAACAATGGAAGCAGCTTCGCCGAGTTATGATAATACCAGGGGAGTCCCATTAGGTAAGGCAACTCGCAGGTGTCGTCTGCGTCTATTATACAGTTTCTGGGCAATATTTGCTGCGTTCTCGCCACTTGATTGCCCAACATATTGTGCACGTTGACGATGCAGCTGGATCTAAGGTCCTTGCGAAACTTGCAGCTGAATCTAAGGTCCTTGAGAAAGTTGCAACTGAATCTAAGGTCCTTGCAGAACTTGCCAACCTGAATGAATCTGCAGACGATGGTGGAGTGCGTCGAGATACGTTTGGCCGTGACGTGAAGGACATTCCCTTGCTAGCAGCTCACACTCCCGTGTTGATGCGGCCTCCAGAACCTGCCTATATCCCCGGCAGATCACCCAGATTACCCGAGGGCGTTGTCTTGGAACAGGACATGACGGACGACGAAGCCAGTGTTTCACCGCCGAAAAGCAGGGTTGATGAAGCCGGTATGATCAGTGACTATTGAAAAGAATTCAAACACGTCGGCCATCCTTTGACAACACTGCCAGGCTTTGACACTGGCATATGGTTACAGCCTCCTTTGGCGATTTAGGCTTCTTTGTAGATCATAGCCATAATATGTGTAGATGGGCAGCAACGTTGGCCCAGCGTTTCCTAGCCGCCTTCCTGTGCTCCTCTCGACAGCACAAGGTGTGTCGTGACTTTTGACAATTCAGGTGGATGGCACAGCCCTGTTCCCTTCGTTGATCTTTTCTCCTACATAACAGCACGCCCTGATTCACCAGAAGGTGGTGATGGATCTGCCATGAATATGGGTGAGGAAGGCTCAGCGCTTGGCGAAGACAGTACATCTGAAGATGGAGAGGTTCCCCCGTTGCCAACTGCCCCGCCCGTTCCGCCACCTGTGTCTGAGGCTGCCGGTGTACCCGTGGCGGAGGCGGCGATTACCCAAACTCCAGGCAGCGAGCAGGTGCCGGAGGAGCCGGAATCAGGAGATGAAGGTGAGAAAGCGTTATTGCCCGATTTCGGATGTGAACCTAGACTACCCACAGGTATAGAATGGCCGACACCCAGATATGGCCACAAGTATAGAATGGCCGACACCCAGATATGGAGGCCCGCCAATGGATACGACAGAAGAATGTGATTTCTTTCTTAGCAAAAATGAAACTCTTTTGCTTGGCGAGGCCAGGGCCCTGGAGCAAATCGCCCTGCCACAATGCGATGTAGGCTAGCCCCCCTCGCGTGTCATTGCTTTGCCATCAGAACGACCTACAACTCCATCAGAAGGGTCAGCCCGTTCAGATCTGCGGAGCGAATCTCCGAGCCCGCCGCCCAGTAAGACCTTTTCCCTTTTTTCTTTGCTTCTGCTACCGGTCATCAG